GTACACTGCAGTGTGTGTGCATGTACGTGTGAGTCTGTCGGACGACGTCTATCTGTGTGTTTCTGTAAGAGTGAGTGACCTGGGGAGTGGTGAGTGGCAGGGTGGCTGGTTGAGTGAATTTGTGGATGTGGGTTCATGAGCGGGAGGGTGCGTGGGGAAATGAGTGAGTGGGAGAGTGGGAGAGTGGGTGAGTGGCTGAGTGGATGAATAAGGTATTTTCCGCCTGAGTCGACGCCCCCCCCCCCCCTCTCGTCTGGGCCATCACGGCCTCGAATGTGCGTCAGTACGGGAGGGGGGGGCTCTGTGATCTGGAGAGATGTGGGGAGTGGGTGGAGAGAGTTTACAGCGCCATCATCCCGTGCATCAGCCTGCTGCAGCAGACTCACCCAGACACCCCACTCTAGCAGCTTACTTGCCCCAACAGACTGTTGTTAGCGAGCAGCACCTATGAAGGCCGGCACAGCACACGAGGGGGTGGGTGGCCAGCACCACGCCCGGTCACCTTTGTCTTCCCAGTGGCGGTGTTTACGCACCGCCCCAGGTACTCATTTGAGGCTGAGTTGACCTAGGGGAGGCTCAGGACTAGTTCAGATAATCATTACTGGTGTTGGCCGTGAACGGGAATTGAATCGCACACAGTCCCAGACAGTCAAGCACAGTCGCAGACAGTCGCAGATAGTCAGACAGTTGTGCACAGTTGTTGCCTCACCGGAGCTCGACGTCTCCGACGTTGGGATGAGCGTTGGAGCTCTCGCTGCCCGGGGCCTGCAGCTCAGGACTCCCCGAGGTTTTTGCTCCGCTGCGCGTGACTCATTTATCCGCTCGGACAAAAAAAAAAGATTTGTGCGTCTCCACTTGAGCGCTGCTCCTGATTAAAAAACGAAACGGAGCGGAGCGGCGCGCAGGGCGGGCTGGCGGCGGCGGCGGCAGCGTTAACGACTCCCCACCTAGCGCCAGGCGGCCGCGGGGTCGACAGGCATGGGTACAGGCTGTGTGGGGGCATCGGTGAAGACGTGTGGGGTTAGAGGTCGATACTGTGTGGGGTCAGGGTAGAGAGGATTCAGGGCTGTGTAGGGTCGAGGGTCAGGAGGGCAGGGGTCAGAGTTCAATTGGGTCACAGACGATGGTGGGGCAATGCTCATTAACTGGTGCGCCTTAGTCGGTCATGAAAATTCCACATTCCCATGGCAAAGACCAGACCTGGGTTCAATTATAATTATGCTTATGGCAGCATTATTGGCTGAAATGACAGAGATTTTGATTCTAAATGATAATAAATTGCATAATTGTAATTGTATCCAAGTCTGCCATAGATCACGAGTCTCTCCATAGGATAACCACTGTCAATGTCCCACAAAGCGGTCCTGCTCATTTTATTGACCCCAAAGGGATGATTGGCTCAGTCAAATGCTCGTGCCATGGCTCAAGGATGAGAGGGGGAGATGCTCGCCTGCTCAGAGCAGCCCCCAAAGTAAATCCAGCCCTGCGACTGCTCCCTCACACCCCCACTGGCTCTGCCCACCCAGCCGCTCATCGCCGCCGGTGCAGGAAGCGTGGCCCCGTCGCTTCAACCGTCGCCACGCAGGGAAATCAAACCGGCGGCCTTCGCACCGCGTGCCCAGCGAGCCGACGGCGTCGCCACCCTCGAGGCATAACAGACGTTAAATAAAACTCATTTTTGAGAACGCCACCGCTAATGGAGCCTAATCGGGGCTCTCCGCTAATAATGTTTCAGCGCAAACGAACGCGAGGAGAGAGAGAGGAACGCCGCCATTAATTAAAGCCGCCCAGGCGCCGTCCTCGTGGCGCAGGCCGTGACGCTCGCCGGCTCGTGCGGCCGAGAGGCACACGGACGCCGCGCCCGCTTCCAGAGTCTCTCCCGGCAAAGAACCGCGTCACAGTTGAGCACTCTGTGGCAGCACTCACACGAGGGTAGCGTTGATGTCTTTTTTTTATTTCTTTGGTTCATGCCGCACGCCCCGAGTGCGAGTTCGTTTTGGTATCTCGCGCTGCGCATCTCATCATCTCGGCTTATCTCAAAGGGAACCCCCCCGGTGACAGCTGTCCCCGTGCGGCACAGGGTGACTTGGCACCTGCCCTGCGAGCGGCCGTCGGTCTGCTGCCGGTTGGGGGCGATGATTTTTACCCGCGTGCATGACCCCAAGCGAGTCGTTTGCAGCACGACTCTTAATTTGGCAATCGTGGACCGTGACGGTGACACGGCGTGGCCTTCTCTCGCCAACGGCGTCGGGGAGGGGGGGGTCGCTCACGCCGGCCGTGCGGTGGACGCGGTGCGTGGGGGGCGGGGGGGCGTTGTTCGGTGCGGGGGGGGGGGGCAATCTGCCCCTCGCTGTCGCAACCCCTCCGCTGCCGTGTCGTGCCTCCAACTCTCAACCCATCGTGGGTGGTGTTCAACATCCACACGTTTGAGAATTAACGCCCCCCGCCACTCGCCCCCTCCCCAATGTCACCTCTCGTCATTACCCCCTCCTACCCCTCTAACGATGATGATAACGAACTTAACAAAAATAATTCTCGTGAGAGACCGTCTCTGAAGTAGTTATCTGCAAGTGTGATCGCCTGGAATGTCTGACAATTAATTCATTGTCATCATTATAATGCTGTTTATTTATACACGAAAGCCTACGTTTCGAATTTTTTTCAGGAGGTTCCTGCCACATTGGGAAATGTTTGGCCAATTATTGGCAATGACGTTTCTGCTTTGCGTGGGAGGGTGACCGAAGAGCCCGGAGAACACCCAAGCAGTGTGACGGCGGTGACGCTCACAAGCCCTGGTGCAGGTCGCCCATCCTTGTACTAACCAGGCTCAAACCTGCTGAGCCTCCGGGTTGGAGCAGATCAAGCACACTCCTATAACTTGGTGACTAGACAGACACGCGTGGTTCGTCCCTCAGTCCGGCGTTGAGAATCCCACCCCTCGTCTGCCATGCGCTGATCGATCGCTCGCTCGCCGTGTGTGGACAGAGACGTCCACCGGAGCGAACTCGGTAGTCCCGTGACGAAACAAGCAGGTGCACTGCTAGCTGCACTGAAATTCCTTAATTGCGTCGCGTGACGCCGGTTGCACGATCGCGACCCAACTGGGGGGATGGGGCGAAGTTGTGAGAGAGGTGGGTCTAGAAACCAAACGGGGGGCCCTGCGTTAATAATCACGAGTACATCCATGTTTCGTCTCCGCTGTCAGATTTGCCACAGGCAGGCAGATCCATTGTGGTGTCACCTTGCAGACATTTTGCGAGTCCACCGCCGCAGTTAGAGATGCAAAGTGCGTGGCGACGAACGTTCGCTTGAGATCCGTTGTGAACACGGACGCTAAGCGCTCACCAGGCACAGCGCTGTGATCTGCAAATGAAAGTCGTTGCCTCCGTTTGAGGTTTAAGATGAAACCTGAATCTGGCGTTGGCTTGCCTCCCACCCCTGCGACCACTCCACTGCTCCCCCCTTCTCCACTGCCTCCCCATCTCCACTGCCTCCCCATCCCCACTGCCCCCCCATCCCCACTGCCCCCCATCTCCACTGCCCCCCATCTCCACTGCCCCCCCATCTCCACTGCCCCCCCATCTCCACTGCCCCCCCATCTCCACTGCACCCCCATTACAGACAACTGCAATAGAACACAAGAGTGGGTGCATGCGCAAATACACATCTATGTGCACATGTGTGCGTGTGCACACTTGGCACGGTATGTCAACATCACCTCTGGGGAGACAAAGGTGGCCGGGCATGGTGTTGGCCACCAACTACCTAGCCATGCTTAATAGGTGCTCACTAACCGTACTTAAAAAGGAGATGGGGATCTTGTTATGATGCATGCGTGCTCATGCGTGCGTATCTGTGTGTTCACGTGCGTGTGCTCAGGGCTATTAAACATTCAAGATATTAAATCCAGAACAAGAAGTGCTACATCTCTCCCCGCACTGATTGAATTTCATGAGGAATTCTGCTGCATTTCAACCCCTACCTGGACCCATTACATTCCTATTTGCATCTGTCCTCCTAAAGACCCCAATGCATCTCGAGCGCGTGGTGGTGGGGGGAAGGGGTGGTGCTGGTTGTAGTGGTGATGACAGTGGGGGTGGTGTATCGTGGCTGGCTGGGTGAGTGGCTGGGTGAGTGGGTGGCTGAGTGGGTGGCTGAGTGGCTGGCTGAGTGGGTGGCTGAGTGGGTGGCTGAATGGGTGGGTGAGTGGGTGGCTGGCTGAGTGGGTGGCTGAGTGATTAGCTGGCTGAGTGATTGGCTGGCTGGCTGAGTGAGTTGGGAGTATAGGCAGATGGATGGTATTGCTCCTCAAGCCGCCGCATTTCATTTCCTTTCACCGAGGCTGTCGCTTGGAGTAAATGAAACACGAAGTCGATTAAGCAGTCGCCGCCGCTTCTCGGTTCTGCCGCGCGATGAGAGGCGACGTCGCACCGAGGCGCCCGTGTGGAGTGTCGGTGGCAGCAGGTGAAGGAGCAGTGGCCTGGGGGGGAAGGGGGGAAGTCATCCCCTTGTTGACCATCATAACGATCGGCAACCTCTCCACGCTGTTGCCATCTCTCACGGCCCTGCAGTGCAATAATCTGCGGTCGCGACCACGCACGGGCTGATTTCATCACTCCATCTCCACGGTGAACATGCTCTTGGGTGCGTTCCCCTACCTCGGACGCCATGTGTGTTCACGTGCGTCTCTGTGTGTACGTGTTGGGAGCACAGCAGTAGTTACCACTACACTGTGCTACGCACCCAGCGACCCAAGTTCGATTCCCGCTCGCAAGAAATAACAGCGGCGGACATTTGAACCGGTCCTGAACCTCCGCTAGGGCGACTCAGCCCTAGGACCACTCGTCCGCACTTGGGATACACAAGCAGCTGGGCGTGGCGCTGTCCGCCCTGTCCCTTCTCGCGCCGTTCCGGTCTTCACAGACGTTCGCCAACGGCTCTTGCGCCAACGGTCTGTTAAATACCACCCTGAGGATTTTCGTCTTTGTCCAACCCCGCAGGTTTACGACAACGATGAGGACGGAGATGAGAAGCAGTACATGACGTTCCCCGAGCGAGAGCGGTACCCGAGCACGCGCCACGACTACGGTTACCAGGGCGAGCAGGATGACTACGAGGGGCTCGAGGAGCAGATGAACCCCGTGTACAACGCGCTGTCCTACGGCGAGCAACCGGGGCCCTACGGCAGCCCCGAGCCCAGTGACACCCGCGGACCCTACATCAGCCCCAATGTGCACTATGTATAGCAGCAGCACACACACAGCAGCAGCACACACACAGCAGCACACAGCAGCACACACAGCACACCGTGATGATGCTCGCCTTGTCACGAGGAGGAAAAGAGGCACGGGGTGGCTCACGAGGTGAGCGGGGGGGTGAGTCTAGGGGCTGACGTGAGTATAACACAACTTGCTGGGCGATTCATTTATGAATACCCCACTGATATCTAATGACCCTCTTACTTTCGTCTCAACCACTGATTGAGTAGAGTGAATGCCACGGTGGCTCATCTTAAAGGAGAATGGAGTTAAGCGATTTACTAATTTTGTGAGTTGAGATTGCTGGGAAACGTGTCGAGGTTTTGAAGAACTAAATGGGGTTTTTTTTCCTCCATTACCCCCACACCGCCCGTTATTTTAGTGGGGTATCTGTAAATGGATCGCCCTGTAGATCCCCCCCGTCTACTTACGTCAAACCCGAATCGATGCCCGATCTTGGCGAAGATGTCGTTTTTAAAAACTCTAAAACGTGAAATAAATAAAAATGTTGACGGCGTGGGCGGGCGTCACGATGATCGTAGTAGCGACGACGGAGCGGCCATTTCCTCCGTGCAGCCATCGTCACTTCCCCCGCAATGGACAGGCGGGGGTCCTGGCGGTGGGATGTGGCTGTCGCCTTGGTATTAAATTTTTACGTTTTCCTGCAGCTGTGCTCAATTGAGGTTTGAGGATGTGGAGGAAGAGGAGGAGGTGGGTGGGGGGGAGTGGGGCCCAGGGCAACGATGATTCGAGGCCCTGAACGTCCATCCCTGTGGTTGGTGGGGGTGGAGGTCTTCACGCATTGCCGTGTCCCAGTATCCCAATTGACGGGTTGCATCCCAGCTCGGTTCCTGATGGCTTCACGCACCTCGCCTCCAATTCGTCCCATTAACTGCCTGCTTGGCTACCCTCTCAGCTGCTCCACACGGACCCCCCTGGTTACCCGATCACCCACGACTCCCAGATCATCCCCACCACATTCGCCAGGAGTGGTGTAAAACGGGGTTCGTCGTACTCGGAGGATTGCATGGGCTGGTATTGAACCCCCACTAGATAGTTGCGTGGCACACAGCACGTGGGCACCACCACCGTTAAGAGTCGGTACATGATAAGCTCATTGTTTAAAATAGATTTTTTTGTGTAACGCTCACAAATACCCGTGTCGGACCATGCGCGTGGGGATCTGTTTAATTGTTGTCGGCTCGCGTAGTAGCGCATGCGGGCGTGACCCCGAGATGGGCACGACCCCCAGGGGGGTGCCACCCCCGGGCAGGCGCGATCCCCGGGTGCCGGTGACTCTTACCCATGCCAACGTTAACGAGGCCCTCTCTCGAACGAGGATGGATGTTTTGGAGACAACGCACACACAAAGGTGTGTTGCGTGTGCAAGAACTCTCAGCCTTATGCAGGCGGCAAAACCAGCAGTTCAGAAGAACTGCGTTATAATGATAATTTTGTCATTGACAGCCATAAATTGGTCGGCCACATTTTCTCAAACATTAATGAGCTCTCAAGACAAATTTCCACAGTTCTTCTGAAGGAGGGGGTTTTGCTTCACGCGTGAGACTGAGCGCTCTTGTAGACGCAGTGCTGCACACCTGTGTGTGTCTTGCTTAATCTTTTTTTTCCTGGCCTGCACTGATTGTATTGCCATGGCTGTACTATCAATTAACGATGTAAATAGAATAGTTGTAAGCACGATTACATGCACACGTATATGTAGTCGTTACTCTGTCCAGGAAAGGCTCGACGAGTCTGAAGGCTTGCATGCAGGAGGGTCCTGCTATCCTGCGATGTTTCACCAATCCCTTGGACACCGCGGAGCTTGCGGCCCCCGTCCCCTGCATTGGGGGCTCGGCGCGCCCACACTCTGCATCGCCACGTGCAGACTACGGTAATTAGGAAGAAATAGTGCCCCCCCCCTTCAACATCCCCCCCCCCCGCCTCAACACCGCCCCCCCATCCTACCCACCCACCACCCTTCCCCCACGGCCCACCATGTCCACAACAATCCCCTAAAACATTTAAATGAGGCCATCCAATATTAATGCGTCCGTATCTCTCGCAATTCTGCGACTCTCGGGGTTCATTAGAGAGATAACAGAGACGATGTTCATAATAATCATCGCGCTGCACAATGGTGCGTTTAAAGACTCGGGGCCCGCCTGTAATGGCGGGTTGTGCCTGGACAGAGCCAATTAGGCGAGGGGATTGGCAGGCGAACGGCGGCGTTGTGATTGCTCCGTGACTCGAGAAGGGATGTCTGTGTGGGCGTGCGTGTGTCGCGTAACGACGATGGGCTGCGTCATTTTAAATGGGGAATTGATGTTGCTCTGAGATTAGCCTGTCTCGATATCATCATCATCGGTCATGGTCAATCCACTGCTGGATGATGGCCTCCCGTCACCATTTCTCACGATCCCGTGATGACGGCAATAATCCATCTAGCACCGGCACACGAGAGCTGCTTCCGTCGCTCCGTCCCCTCGCTCCGTCTCCGTACTGGGTGCAGAACGTCCCCTTGGGACGCGTGTCCACTCCGTCGTTAGTTCTTGACCGCCGTCCCTTGTAACCGTGACGTGACCTGCCCAGTGCCACGTGTCCTCGTCGCAACACCGCTCGCCCTGAGTAAAGCGATACCCGGCGTGTGGGGACTCGCGCGCGCACACACGGCTTGTCATCTGTTAGATGCACCTGCCATTCTTCCACTCCGGTGGTGGGTATCCATCTAGGACCCCGAACTGAATGATGAAGTTGCAAGCGGTGGCGCAGTGGTTAGCGTGCTGCACTATGATCCCGGCGATCGGAGTTCAATTCCCTCTCATGACCAACATTGAATATTATCTAAGCCGGTCCCGAGCCTCCCCTAGGTCGACTCAGCCTCAAATGAGTGCCTGGTGCGGTGTGTAAACATCGCCACTAAGGAAACAATGGCAGCCGGGAGTGGTGTTGGTCACCCACCCCCTAATTTGCCGCGCCGGCCTTCATAGGTGCTTGCTATAACAGCACTTGGCCCAACAGTCTGTTAAAGGCTATACGGGGGACGGGGGGGGGGGCCTTTGTGTTTGTAAGCGCGCGTGTGCTTCACGGGCTGCACCTGCGCCAGACAGATCCAATGCCTGAAGCCGAAATTACATTTAGGATGCATCAGCCGACTACAAACATGCATGCCGGACAAAGGCGTGTCTTAATTGTACCGCAGTCGTGTGAAATAATCGCGGTGAAATACTTTACAATTCCAACGAGTGTAGTGGTGGCGTTATTAGAATGGTGATGCCTGGCCGGCGATGACGAGTCGGCCAACATTGCCCTCTCCTGGAGAGGAGGTTCTCTCTCCCGCTACCACTGCTGCCCCGAGCCAGCCGCAGGGCAGTGTGGGGACGATGCGCCGTGGTGCTGCTGCTGTCGAGGAGGAGGCGGCGGCGAGTCAGGGCTCCTCTGTTGTCGTTGCGCACCTCCCTCTCCTTGTGTCGTGAGTGGGGGACCGCCCCGTGAGCTATTTGGGGGGGACCCTAAAATGTTGCTTGCTTTGCTTGTTCCCAGCACCATCACTATTGTACACAAAATATGAACATTTAAATATAAAAAACGAGAACTATTTCTTTTTGTAAATGAATGACTAGCGTCACGTGATTGTAACGAGGATGGCTGTAGCAGACGATAGCTGAATCACGTGCGCGCGAGAGAGCGCGCGGTCTTTTATACGGGCGTGCGCGGTGTACCCATGAACTGTGATAAAGCCCGGTGATTGTTCGTTGTGATTGAGGGGTTGGGGTGGTGGGTGGTGGCTATGGGGCCTGTGTGACTCGCGCTCTGAATCTAACGCTGTTAATCTGTCCCACGTGTCCGGGGTGTTTGGCTTTAAGTACTTTTTCGTTACCGTTCGTCGTTATGATGATGATGATGATTATTGTTGCTGTTATGATTTTTCCATTGTCTGACACTCGTATCCTCTCCACCCGCTTTTTAACAACTGCTGTACATATATATTCACGGTTATTCCGGAAACGTTTAGCCAACAGGCAGTGTCTGAATAAAGTCTGTAATCGGATACGTTGATTTGCTTCATCTGATTATTTATGGTGTTCTTATTCTGCTTGTTTATCCAGCAAAGACTCAGGAGGGTTCTGTTCTTCGCATGTGGAGGGCCATGTTGCTGCTGCTGTTGCGTGATAACAATTGAGTTATGTGGAGGTACATTTTTCAGCATTGGAGATGTTTGGTCAATGTCACTCACAATCTGTGCCAGGGTTTAGATTTTAACTTTTGGGGAAATGTACGTACAGATGTTTGTTATTGGATGTAGTTTTAACGATAACCTCGCCTCCTGCGTGAGCCATTGGCGAGTGGACCGAGACCATCGACTCGCTGCGCCCGAGTACCACTCCGCGTCCTCACGGGCAGCGGCTGCAACGCGGATAGAGACCCAGGAGAGAGACCCAGGATAGAAACCCAGGATAGAGACCCAGGAGAGAGACCCAGGATAGAGACCCAGGATAGAGACCCAGGCTCGGGGCTTGCCGGCTCTGTGTCTCTGACCTGGGAGCCATCACGACACGACGATCGCTGAATACAAACAAAAACATTTAAATTATTTATAAGAAACTTAAAGCGTTTTTGTTGTATTGACAAATGAGCAGCTTTGCATGGTTAATTCATGAGAGCATTAGCGAGCTAAGACGTGTGTGTGTGTAAAACCCGATTTGAATTAAAAGTAACCTTACCTAAGTGTGACTGAAGAAGTGATTCATCCGAAAAACATCTCTCCCTTAACGAGGCAATGGTAACGGCCAACGCGGCGAGGGTGATTTATGTTCACGTACCACTGGCGGAGCGGTCCTATAATTGAAATGTGATTAAACGGTTCCACTTAATTGGGGTGGAGAGCGGTGGCGCAGTGGTTAGTGCACCGTGCTGCGACAGTAGGTTAGGTTTTGGAGACATCCCGTACGGACTTTGATTGGGGCTTGGGCAGGGTACGTGATGACGAGAGGTGGTGGTGATGGCCGGCGGTCAAGACTCAAGACGAGTGGCAGTTAAAGGAGCGGGACGTGCCTAGCAGAGCTTCCAAATGGGAAATGGAGCGATGAAATTATCTCTCGTGCGGGAGCTCGGATGGAATGTTGCAGTTTGAGATTGTGAGGAAAGGCAGTGACATGGGGGGGAAGCTTTCATCCAGCAGTGGATTGATCATGGCTCATCATGAAACAGTAGACATGCAACCAATGCACCGAATCATCGCGATTCGATTCTGAAATCCGTGCCTCGTTCGTGCGCTCTCCTTCGTCATGTCTCCCGCGCTCACTCCAGGCGTCGTCTGGGCCCTTTGGCTCCTCTCCAGGCCACGCGGCCAACTCGTGTGCGTGTCCCTCCGCGCGTCGCTCCACTGCTGGATGACGGCAACTCCATTTACCAAACCATTTGGATGAATATTAGTGTACAGGATGATGCTCGTGACAAATTCGATCACTGAGCAGCAGGGGTCGGCAACCTGCGGGCTCTAAGGACTGCTTCGTGCCGTTATTCATTAAGCACCGTCTCGTATTGTGGCTCTTGAAATATTGAGGGTTTTTTTTACCGATTTTGATCAAATGGCTCTTCTAGTTATTTTGGTTGCTGGCCCCTGCTGAGCCAGGAACGATTGAAGGCGCCACGGGAATCCGCGCCTCGCAGAAAGAAGATCCTGGGTTCGAGTCACGGCTCGGGCGCCTCTGTGTGGAGTTTGTCATCTCCCCCTGTTCTGAGTGGGTTACCTCTGGGTTCTCCAGTTTCCTCCCATTGCAAAAAAAACATACAATGTAGCTGGAATTGGCAAAACATCCCAAAGCTGAAAAATGATCGACAGATTATTCAGTTGGGATCAATACCAAAACCCGCTATTCACCACTAAGCGACGGCGACGTCACCACGGCGCCCGTGCCAGGCCAGGTGCACTTTGAGGCCACCACGTGAAGTGTCAAAGGCTCGATGGCAGGAGGAGGTCACGGGACAGACTCGGCAGGTGCCATGGGTTGACTCACTGAGATGACTGGCAGACGCACCACCCGTGCCCCCCACTGCGCCAACAGTTGGGATCACACGGCAGCATTAGCGACATCGCCCCCTCCTGCGGAATCTCGGCAGGACCCTCCTGAGTCTTGAAACTCGATGAGGCTTTCGTGATCATAATAATAAAAAAACGGGTGAATTATTGTCGAGTTACAGATGGTATCCCCTGGAGAGAGATGGAACCGTACATCTCGGGGTGAATTCGAACGTTGTAATTGTTTCATCCCTGCAGCCACTCGAGGCGCTGTATGGATATCCGTGTTCATTTGAATGAATCTTGAAAGAATCGATGCGACGTGGTGAGGGCGAGAGCCGATTGCGATGATTCACAAGGAATGGGATAGCGGGGCGCACCCACCACCCAGATCCCCATCCAGCCTGAAGCTGTTTGCGCGGGCGTTGTTAGCGAGCGCCTATTGAGGCCCCATCAGGGGTGGGGCGGCCAGCCCCCCACTGTCCGACGGTTTACACCACGCACCAGGGGTACTCATTAACGGCCGAGTCAACCTAGCGAGAAGTCTGCGACCGGTACAGATAACAACTTGCCAATGTTGAACACGCGGTGGGCTTTCGCGACCAATATCCACAATAGAAGTGTTTTGGGTTAGATCGCGTAAATATATAAATGTCTCGTTAAAACCCGCCAACTTGCCAACGATGTTAGCCGTGGCCAGGAATCGATCTCATGTTGCTGGGTTTGCAGTGCAGCGTGCTGCTTATCCACTGCGCCACCCACGCATGAACACACAATACAAAGACAAAGGTACTCCCGATAGTTGGCACACAGTGCTATTAGCGTGCACTCAAGGCACATACACCACAGACCATACACACACCATATACACCCACCGTATACCGTAATATAGTGCTAAATATCATGTACAACGCATGCAACCCAACAAAACTCCCCCCTCCGCCCCTGCCGTTAAACACAATCAGTGCCGCCTGTAATGGGAAATTCATGATTTAGCCACAATCACTGCCCCCCTGCCTGCACCCCGCGGGCTCCTCCCCTCCCCCGTGTCTGCAGTGCACGCGGAGCGGACATTAGCGCGGCACTCAGCCGAGCGGCCACGTGCCGAGCGGCCCTTGATTAAAGCAGCCTCCACTTAATTACCTCCCCCCACCACCACAACCTCCCCTCCACACGAGGGTTCCCCAGACTCCAGTGCTCTCGACCCCCCACCACCGCCCTCCGTCTATCCACGTTCACCAATTCACTTCCCGTTTAAATAGAAATCGACTCGTTTCACGCTGTACGCGCCCGATGGTTGTTAAACACGTCCCACGTGACGCGCTAAGCAATTAACGTTGCCTGCGTGATTAGAGCCCATTCACATTAATATTGAGATCTCAGTGTGCGCGTACGCGTGTTCCATCCACGTACGCGTGTTCCATCCACGTACGCGTGTTCCATCCACGTACGCGCGTGTTCCATCCACGTACGCGCGTGTTCCATCCACGTACGCGCGTGTTCCATCCACGTACGCGCGTGTTCCATCCACGTACGCGCGTGTTCCATCCACGTACGCGCGTGTTCCATCCACGTACGCGCGTGTTCCATCCACGTACGCGCGTGTTCCATCCACGTACGCGCGTGTTCCATCCACGTACGCGCGTGTTCCATCCACGTACGCGCGTGTTCCATCCACGTACGCGCGTGTTCCATCCACGTACGCGCGTGTTCCATCCACGTACGCGCGTGTTCCATCCACGTACGCGCGTGTTCCATCCACGTACGCGCGTGTTCCATCCACGTACGCGCGTGTTCCATCCACGTGTACGCGTGTTCCATCCACGTGTACGCGTGTTCCATCCACGTGTACGCGTGTTCCATCCACGTGTACGCGTGTTCCATCCACGTGTACGCGTGTTCCATCCACGTGTACGCGTGTTCCATCCACGTGTACGCGTGTTCCATCCACGTGTACGCGTGTTCCATCCACGTGTACGCGCGTACACGTGTTCCCATCCACGTGTGACCGTACACGTGTGACCGTACACGTGTTCCATCCACGTGTGTCCGTACACGTGTTCCACGTGTCGCAGACCCACAATAGCCTGGTCTCGGCTCGCTCATAATAGTTGCGAGAATGTCATCATCGCTTGCAGCTGGGGTTGGCGCCGCCTGCTCCCCCTGCTCCCGATGCTGAGGGGAAGTGGGTGAGGTTGAGGACTGTGGCTGCTATGCCTGCATTAGGTACGCGGTCCACAACTCTCCAGAGATCCTGGCTGACGGAGGAGATATCCTCTGGCCCCTACATTATTTAACATCTGTTTTGTCCATGTAGATCAAGAAGCGTTCCATAGCTGTACCAGAGTAATTTCCATCTGGTACAGCTTATACAATGGGAGGCTGTAGATCGATGCCCGGGTGCTGTCAAGGAATGTGTGGTTAGTGCAGGCATGATTCCTTGGCAAAGATTTCAGTTTTGTGTATTAACATCTTAACACAACTGTTTTATTGCCAGAAAGGGTAAAACCAATTATTATATTTTGATACTGGCAAGGGAGGTCCCATGATGTATCTGGCTCAGCCCGAGCCTTTAATGTTCTGATAGTGGCATTGTCTTTGTGCTGTTCGCCTGTTGGCGTCCTCTGGTCTAACACTGTTTGAGACGAGGTTCTAAAGAAAGCTGTCTCTGGTGTGGACCAATCAGTTTTAAAGACAATGCATCATCATAGACTACCAAAGCATGTTTTTGTTGCATGTTCACCACAAGTATATGTGGTTAATGCACACATGATTCCTTGCAAAATGTTTCAGTTTGGTGTTTTAACATCTGAACACAACTGTTTTATTGCCAAAAAAGGTAAAACGTTTTCTTAGATGAATGGCTCACTATTGGTCAACCATGTTATTTATGTTTGCTGATCTGATGGTTGCCGCTCACTGAGGAGTGCTGAACCTACAGCGTGCCACTCAGAAATGAGGCCTTACCATCAGCCCCTCAAAAACAAAGCATCTGACTGAGTATTTTGTGATTTCCAACATTCCACCCTCTCAACTC